TTATCCATGTTTACATTTCTACACTTAAGTACCAACTCTGTCAATTATTCTGTCAAAATTGCAATTCACAAGCTGTTTATGAATATAAAAATGTTTATAGCCGCTGTAAAAATGTAAAGTGAAGGAGAAAATGTCAGTGCATGTCAGAGGTTTTCCTCTCTTACCAGGCTATGCCCCCATCTGTCCTGAGGACTGGCATCAAAGAGCATACAGACGGGCACTTTCTAAGCTCAACCAGGCAACAGTGAATGAAGCTACATGGGGACATCCTGGGACGTGCTCACCATTAGCAATAATTGGAGAGTGCAAATGAGGGCAGAGACAATGTGAAACATTTACTCGTCTGAATATTTGCCAGAAATAAATAGATCTATTATCAACATAGATTATTTGTTTTCAGACAGGCTATCATTGTTTTGGTGGTATTTTATATGAATCCATTAAATAGTGAGACAGACCCAATTCAGATTGATAAAGAGTGAAACCTAAGTTTGATTATAAACGTAGGTTATGCCAATCGAAAGATGTGCATTTATTTTAGTTTCAATCATAAGAATTTACATGGCATTATTGGTATTTTCCCAATCAACCTATTGAGTTCTGTTCACTTCATATTACATCACACAAAAAAGTCTCCATTGAGAAGACAGTACCTTCACATTTGAAGAATTTTTCACATATTGGCCTTTGTGTCATTTTTATCATTTTAATGAAACTGGGTCATTTTTTCACTCCTAATCTGTAAAAACATTTGCATTATAAGCGTTACTTCTTCATATAAGATGTTCTTGTGGTTGTCATCTTTAAAGTCAAGCTCCTAACAGGATTGACTGAACTTTCCTTAGAGACATTGGGTTCTTCTTCTTCTCATGCCCGAAACTGCAAACTAAAAAGATAAAATAATTCAAATCCAAATCCAAAGGTGGTATGGTAAAAACAATAAGAAAGAACTTTCCAAAAGCAGCCCAACTTATTTCCCCCGACCCACAGTGAAATATGCTCGAGCCAACCATTACCACTACTAAGTGTTCTGTTGCTGAGCTAAGTTTATGTTTCAGTGCTGTCTGTCCTTTCGTAAGTGAGCAGAATTGTTCATTGGTTGACACAAGATTCATACAATGATCTATTTATTTTCTTAATCACTGATGTTCCCAGGAAATGGGAACAGCATCCCCTCTGGGATGCAACTTGAAATGACTTGTGTAGCATATAGCTTTAAATGATTAGACTCCTCTGGGTACTTAATGAACCAGAACCGTATAAGTTATCAGTTATCTGGCTCTTTAAGGGCAATACCTGATGGAGTGCTCCTTTAAGGGTAAGGCAAGCTGCTGGAGTTACCGAAACACAAGCCCTCAGATTCTTTGGATACCCCGAAAATAAATTAACTGTTGGAGCAGATGCAGAAGTGTGTGTTAAAGTTTCAAGTTGAGTGTTATAATGGTGCTATTGATACAATTCAAGTTAGATTAAATCAGTGAAATAGTTGACAAAATAAAAATCGAATTCTTGTTATAGACTAAACCAAACTTAATCTGACTTAACCTACAGCATAAAAAGTGTCAGGGTTTTTTGGAGCAGAAAGGGGTTACTCTCCTTAAGACTACACAAAGGCTGGCAAACTTTATTTAATCAGTGTGTATTCTTTAAACATATACCTGAATGTCACATGTGCAATGCAGAAATCTCACAATCTTCGTGGAGGGAAAGTACTGGTAACACCCTCACAATTACGCCAAAGTTTTTCTTATTCTGTCAGTATATGAGTGATGGAACAGATAAAACTAGTACAAATACAAAGTCAAGAGAGGCACGGTCCTCAGAAACAGCATTTAGATTTAGTTGAACTGCTTTACAAAGATAACGTTTGTTGGACTACAGATAAAAGAAAGGTCAAAATTTAAATAAGTGTGTAATTTATCGCATAAGGGATACCAGTAAGATTAAACAGAATATTATATCAAGCTGGACCACTCCTCATTGGCTTTCCAGTTGCTGTGATACAAACAGCCCACAGGAGAGGAAAGCGCAGTTCATTCATGTTCAGCAGGAAAACTGGGGCTCTTTGATTTAGATAGGGTTGTAGAAGGTGAAGCAGAGCAAGGGGGAAGAGGTAGATTTTTAGCCACTTTTTTTCTCAGAGCTAAGAAGCAGATATCATTTACTTGAAAGAAAAGGAACCAGCATTGAAACTTGCCATAAATCTTTTATATGTTAGACTTTATAATGCACCATCAGTTGTGGTTCCTGGAACCTTGCCATTTGAATAAGTACGTGCCAGAAAAAGAGCTGTTTTCCCAGTTCTGCATTGTCCCCAAATGAACCTAAAACTGCTGCCAAGAATCCGGCAAAGTTTATAAGAGGTAAAAGCTCGAAGGTTAGTGGTTTTCAACCACAACAACAAAATTAACAATTCTTTCAAGGCAAATCTAAGCACAGCAGGTGGGCTCTATCTCATCAAAACACTGTTTTCTTGCTGTTAGAAAATAAAGAGATGTTAGATAATGGAGTGTTAATACAGTTTCAGAGTGGGAGTAGGGGGCTGTTGAGAAGGGAAGAACTGATTTAACTGATAAAAAGACAACAGATTTATCAAAATGCCAATCCAAAACAGCCAGACTGAAGAATCATGAGTCAGATGGTGAAGTCATCTTTCTGTTTTTTAGTCTAAATGAGCTGCGACTCTAACAAAGCTGTCTGGCATCACATGCAGTACTTGTACTGGCAAAGCAGAGAAGACAGGGAGTTAGCAAGAATCCCTATTCATCTTGTGTAAAGTCCAACAATATGTTCAAGCTCTAACATCAGACACATTTAAACACCAGTGAATGAGCTCAGTGACGTTTGGCCTTTAGGCTAAAAATAAGTTGACATACCTATAGGACTAAAGATTATGGGAAATTCTTACATTTGAGAAGCTGCATCAAGATATGCAAAATTATTCACACATTCATTTACCAAACACATGCTAAGCTACCGTTGGGCAAAAGGCAGCACATTGGACAGGTTGGTATCTATGCATTATTCCAACAACTAGCTCCTGTTACCCTCCATAATCAACCGTAGAGTTATTTTTACCCTAACATGCATGTTTTTGAACAGTGTAGCAAACCCAGAGTACCTGGAGAGACAACTTAGAAACATAGAAACCACATACGCTCGGAGAAATTCATAGAGAAAGGCCCCGGCGAGGAACATGGACCTGTCCTGCTGTGAGGCACATCTGTATCTACTTATAGAAATATATCAGCTCATGACTGATGCTCTTGATCAGGCAGGTAAACACCCACAGGTGAGATGATTTAAAATCAAATTTCTTTAAAAGTAAAGAAAAAGAGCTGCAGTTGTCTTGTTTTCTAGTGACAGCAGGCAACCCAAAACGTATACAGTGTATTTTATTAAATGTAACCAAGTATCTGTGGTGCCTTAACTCAAATAGATTATTTTTTAAACTGAGGGCAGACTGAAAGCAAAAGTAAACAAAACATTGAAGTGAACTGGAAAAATCTAATATCCTAAAAGAAGAACAACTAAATTGGAAAATCAGTTTCCTGAAAGACATGCCTGAAGGTACCCCCCTTCCACATCATCCCTTCGCTGATTTAGAGTTTTCTGACGGTCTCGTTTCAAGTCTGTGTCTAACATGTAGGACACATGTACCTCTGGCAAAGTTATAACATTATTTCACATTTCACCATCATCTAATGGATTGTGAAATAGGTAACACTTAAAAACAAGTATTTCTGTGAGATCAGATTGGATATAGACAGATCTTCAAATATCACATGTGGTCTGCATTAGGATGGATTCCGTACTCTGGAGAACTTTTCAATGTAAGGTAAAACCGTATCTCCTGGATAAAGTCTGTGCGCATAGTTCTACCATCAGTACGCTCCAAATGCATTTTTGCTTTAAACCCAGAAACATATTTCTGTGAAAACATTAGGAAAATAAGTTTGATTCAAGGGTGAAATATTACCTTTCATAACTATTTCACCAAATTCCCGAGACTGAATATCTTGACACATAGTTCTTCTTCTTTTTAGCTTATATGATTCTAGATACATTTATCAGTATCTGTTCAACTGTACATTTGGGGTGG